GCCTGGGATGACCTGACACCCGAAGATATCAGCACTCTCACTAAGTCGACTCGCAGTCGCTGTGTAGAGGCGATTAAGTGTCAAGGTGGCCCTACGAGGTATTGTTAGTTTCTTTTTGTGTGAATCGTGTCTCCTCAGTGACAGAAATGTTGAATTACAGTGCCACTTTAAGATGACCTTGGTGGGTTCTATTTTTTTGGAAGCGCGGAAAAATTGACCGTTTCAGAAATTTTACCAGGACGAGCGAATAATGAAACGACTCTGATATATCTTTGGTCCTACATAAGTGATACCCTCACACACGAAATCTCACAACCTGAGTCGCAGTAATAACAGAGAAATCGAAAAAATACTGTATGTTCTATTATTTTGTGGGGGGGGGTTTAGTCCTCACGGTTATTGTGAGACTTATTGACGCTTTACTTCATCATTCTCAACTGCGTGATGGTGGCTGCCCAATATCCACAAGTGAAGTCGGCAGGGCGGGGCGAGTTGAGTTGACGAGTTTTGTGTGGGAAGCTGCGATCGGGCATGTGCTTGCAAGTGACGATTTGTCACTATATGCTGGTAGCTGCTGAACTCTGTGATGACAGGCTCGACCTGATAGAGTGGCAGATTTGAAACTAAGCTGTTCGAGTAGCTCATATCCGAAAACTAAGCGTCTCGTCCCTATCTATCACGTCACGAGACTTGACGTAGCTGCCTCCACGCGTCCACCCCTGGCGTACACGCCATGCGTATGTGCTTGCCAGCTAAATGCCACAGAACTTGTCCACATTCTTCCTCCTGCTCTAGCTAGGGAGTTTTCCTCCTACTTAGAGTTCTGGAGTTGTTGGATTAACAGTCCGATTCAACAGGACAGTAGAACGTTGCCCAACTTCATACCAAGTCCGCATCGAATTAGCAATCTCTGATGTCCTACCTCCACGTCCATGAAGCAAGCAGTTGTAGCGAGCGCAAGTTCGTTCCTATTGGTTCGAGCTTGCGTCCGCTGCAACAACACCGATCAACATTCATTCCATTGTTAGTACAGCTACTAGCTCTAGCTTTTGAATTACGTTGAAACATTGCTTTCTCGCCCATTACACTGACCGGGCCAAACTCCTTCGTGCGCCTTCGTTGCTCCCTCTGTGAGGGTATAGCACATGGGACCGACAAGGTCAACTACTTTCCAGCAGTGACCTCGGGCCGAACCTCAAGGTCGGAGACAGTGACAATGGTCACCCCATCGACGCCTGAGATTTATCTCCTAAGGATTCAAACTAAGACTAGAACTGAGTCTTAGTCCTACTCAGACCACCTAACTGAACCACTCTCCCAACCGAACTTCTAGCTTCGTGACACACACTCAACAGGTTTTCAATCCACTGATATCCTCACAACCGCGGGAACAACAGCACCAGTCTTCGACAGCTTTTGAGCTTTATGTGTGGTAATATCGCTGACGCTGATTATCTTGGATAGGATTGGTAGCGAGTCACACAGAGGATATGACTTCGTATCGTAGTTTACTGATCACAATCGTTGATGAGTTCTACTAACCAGGAG